ATTTATTTATTTATTTATTGTTTCGAAGGATAACTATTTCTACAGAGTTATTTAAAGGAAGAATACGTTCCTCGGCAAAGGTGCGACAAGGCGTGTCTGGTTTTATTTTTTCCTTTGAATTGCGGTACAAAACGTAATCATCCAGAAAGTCCTCAGAGTAAGTTTTGTCATTCTTGCAGGCCTCGAACCAATCATCACAGGTATTACTGCAGATAGGTGCTTCACTAATCAAACCATCAGATGCCGCACATTTGACGACGTTTGGATCGCAAAAGTATAGACATTCAATGTTGATGATATAGGTTTTGCATTGCTAAAACATAATTTCAATGTGAGAGGGGTAAGAATTTATACCGTAAACATTTCAAAATACAAACGAAATTAGCTCAAGTACAAGACCTTTTTAGGGATGGATTGGGGATGAGGACGGTTTACCTCCCTCTTTCCGTCCCTACCGACCTACATTCTTCCTTGCCCTTCCTAGGAAAACTGAGGAAAAACCATTAGCCAATCAGATTGCGAATGCGTTTCGGAAAGAGAATCAATCTCATACGTGTTTGCGCTCCCATTTGGAAAAACCAAACCAAAACAAAATGGCGGACGAAGAAAATGCAAAGAGAAGTGTTATTAGGACGAAGGCTTAAGGCTTATAAAATGTTTCTACCGTTAAAGAAAATGTTGTCTAGGAGAGATTAGGAATTTATTACCCTTCATCGGTCTGGATTTTGTTCATGCCTTTTTAGTAAGAGCGAGACCGCTTTAAAGCTCTCTATTCTGGATTTCTGGATTCATTAACATATTTATAGCGGAGCTCCCGCTTCGGCCCGCGCGAGCGGAGCCCCATACTTAATTAAGAAAAAATGGTAAACCATGGAGTTGATTTTTCATGGCTTGGCTGACGTCACTTCCGTCCGTACGTCCGTCCGTCCGTCCGTCCCTGTACACAACACAGGAATCCTGCTTGATGTCAAAGCAAAACTACTCACAAATGCGGCTCTCAAATGCACAGAAAAAA